GGGAGCCCGATGCGGGACTCGATCCCGGGACTCCAGGATCATGACCTGAGCCGAAGGCAGTCGCTTAACCGACTGAGCCACCCAGGCGCCCTAATGTATTTCTTGAAAAGTGCTTTCCACCATGAAATTCTGGTATGTTATTTAACATATTGAGGACGTCTGCAGAAATGAAAAATTTTACAGATGAAGGTGTTATTTTACTAGGATGATAATCCTCCTTTCTCCAGTTATTTGTTTCCCAGGCTCTACAGTTTATTCTCTGTAAACACCTCCTTTTAGCAACTGAAAATACTAAGACTGGAAGAAGTTTTGAATAGTTCCTAGGAAGCCTCTGTGATTAAAATGAAAAGAAAGGTAACCAGGCCTAGCTCACAAATCTCTCCTTTCTTAGTTCTAACAATAATGGTTTCACATTAGGTAAGTTAGCCAACTAATATTCTTGTTCCTCCTTTTGTTATTATGGTTCTTTTTAAAAACAAAAAGACACATTTGAGGTGAATCTCAATCTGCTGACTATAATTATATAAAGAAGGAAGAAAACTAGCATTATACTTAGAGTGATTTACTTCTGATTTTCCTCTCCCCCCTAAGCCTAAAGGCTGTATTTATGTGAACAAAACTGAATGTGTATCTATTAATGAAGGAGGATGTAGCTGGAAGGGCTGTCTACACAATATTGTGTTATTCAGGTTTCAAAGACTTCAAAATTATCTCAAATGGTTTCAAAAAGTAACAAATAGGGTGGTAAGCATACTCATTCATTCAGTTCTTCCTGTGCATGTTCAGGTTTATATATAAATGCAGATATACAAATGGTGGTCATATTTGAAGGGAATTTTGAAAAATCTAGGTCTGTGTATTATCTGAATATGCAACATGAATGACAAACCAGAAATTTAAATAAACACTCACTGTGTTTACTTAAATGAGATCATCTGTATAGGATCACACTTGAAAATGTGTAATCATGAAAAATAAATACAGCTGAACACATGTCAGAGTTGAATTTTAGTGTCTTATTTCTAAGTCAAAACTCCCTCACACATTCAAATTTCTCTTAACAGCTATATTTTTTAACCTCTTTGAATCAAGAGCAAATGTGATAAACATCAGATCTCAACACATTTTTCCCCGAAGTTAATAGCTTCTAAAAGGCAGAAATTGATGTCGGCTGGAATACTCCAGATGACCAGTTGGCTGACTCAATGCCTTCCTTAGCTCCAGAGAGCTGTCCAGGGCAATGGCAGCTTCCGAGGGTCCGCCAGGGAGGCCGTAAGACATAAAACCTATTCTGCCATCTTCTGTCCTCTCAGGTAAGTGGTTAGGGTCCCGGAGGAGAGGGACACAGCAAATCAGAATCACCTCAGGAGCTTTATAAAACTAGACATGCCTTTGTGCCTAAGCCAAGCCCGAGTAGGGAAGGGGATACATTGTTTTTTAAAAAGCCCTGCGGAAGTGAGTCTGGTAAGTTTGGACTGTATCTCCACTCCCTTCACTTTTGAGACTCGCTGTTTGAAGAATACAGGTTTAACAAGAGGAGGCTCAGGAGTCAGAACCCTGACATGCTTTGTAACTCTTCCATATTAATTAGCTTGATTAATTTCCCTTCAGGCAAGTTCTCACACAAATACCCCATCCCCATTCAATAGTTCCATGCTCTATGTACTTCTCTTGCAAGTAGCTCAGTGACTAGGAAAATCTACTTCCATCTTTATTCCAATCGTGAATTACAAAGGAAAACCTAATCAAATCAAGATGGAGTAACTACAGAGTAGTGTTAACGATATATCTACATCCAGGAAAAGAAAAAGCTGTAGTTGAATACAAAATATACAAAAGAGCCCTTAATCTCCTAAGCCTTTCAAAATACGCACTAGAGTTCCCTTCAAAATAAAGTCTGTCGTCAACTCTTTCTCAAATCTATTTTCCTGAATAGTTCTTGAAAAATGTGATATAAAAAGTTATTTTTGTTTTAATTATCACTACTATAATAGAACTTTCAGCTAGCTATGGGCGCCTGGGTGGCTCAGTTGGTTGGGCGACTGCTTTCGGCTCCAGTCATGATTCCGGAGAACCCGGATCGAGTCCCGCATCCAGCTCCCCGCTCGGCGGGAAGTCTGCTTCCCCCTCTGACCCTCCCCTCTCTCATGCTCTCTCAGTCTCTCTCTCTAAATAAATAAATAAAATTTTCAAAAAAAAATTGTTTTAACTACTTCGTGTATTAAATATTTTCTGTGGCTGGGCCTAAACACCATACAGACTTTTCCTCCATGGGAAAACAGGTTCTACGTTCCAATTCTCCAATATACGAGCAAGTTCTGAGCCCCCTTCCCCACGCGGGCACCTGTAGTCCCTGTACTAACCATTTCTTCTGGGGCAGCAGTGCCGAGAGTTGCAGAAACGGGAAAGTGAGCAGAGGAAGCGGAAGGAGCCCCAGCCGACGGGATGGAAGCCGCGGAGGGAAAAGCAGCGGCGCCGGCCGCTCCCATGGCAGCTGGGGGCGGGGACTGTGGCGGTGCAACCACGGGGGGCACTGGAGGGGCCAGAGGATCCGAAGGAGCAGAATGTTCTTTGCCTTGAACGCCAGGGCCATACTCTTCTTTTCTATTTGTGAAGTCTATCCCTATAAATTACAAATTAATTCCATTAAAATTCTTCCAGGTTAAGATTCGTTTTATGCCCCCAACAATGAAAATACATAACAGCTAACATTTGGTTCTAAAGAAAATGTAGAAATTTGTCATGTATTGCATACAATGTTTAGCATTATTAACTGGGTAATGTTAGCACTAACCACTAAAGACTTCAGACCATTTCCTTCCATATGTGAAAGCTAATGAAGATTTGCTCTTATGTAAAAGATAAAAATAAGTGTGTACTCAGCTAGGCTATCAGCTGAGTAAAATGTATTGCCAAAACAGCCATTATAATAATATGGTCACAATGAATCTAAGGATTTATGTCCTTTTGCATCGTTTCATACAACTGTCCTGATTGATGGCCTGGTATTTAGAGCTGTTGAATTTTTTTTTCTGATATCACTATACCCTCTCATTTCCATCTATTGTTCCTATCCAAACAAACTCAACATATTTTAAACTTGATTTTTCAGCACACAATAATAAATCAGTAAGTAACACTAAAATTTTTACTTTTAACATTGTAAAAGAAATCAGTTCTTGCAAGTAGATTATATAACTCATGAATTAAGGTATATTTGCACACTTAACTGATTTTAGTGACACGCTATATAGTAACCTTCTCTCAAAAATGAACCTTACCCTTAGATCAAAGGAGTAACATCCAGAAGCTAGAGCAAAGCGTTTCTTCAAAATTTAGATTCCGCCGCCCCCCCCAGTATTAGAATTTGGTTAAAATTTCCACTTAAGTCTGTATCTATGTGGCACCTAACACCAGGGTGAGGGTTTGGAAATTCAGTCACGGAGAGGTTTCAGAATGTCTGAAGAGAGGGTGTTAAATAGCCCTACGTTTAAATGGTTTTTGATGTTGTCCTCTTTGTACTGGAAATTTGGGCTTCTGTGTAAGTCCTTCTCTTCAGCTATCTTTATATAAAACAGAGTAATAGTACCTCATTAACAATGTTTAATGAGGATTATAATGCATAGATCCTTTGAAATCCTTTGATGAAGAGGGACTAATTCACTATAAAGTACGGCTTTTACTGTAAAAACAAAACACACATACAGAATTTTAACATGTTTTTGATAGCAAGTGATTCTGACTGTGTCTTCTTAGGTGGGTGGCAGACTTCTTAGATGTGGAGCCAGTACAAAGGTGAGTTCTCACGTTGGGATTCCCTGGAATAGAGGTAGCTGACTAACTCTTGCTAATGTGGGCTGATTTATGCAGTTCCTTTTTGGCCAATCACCGTAAGGTTAATAATTATTCTCGTTTTAACTGGGGTAAGTTTTTTCATCTGTAAAGCATTTTTCTACTGTTCCTAAAATTGCTTTAATATTTGGCAGGTACCATTTTAAAGGCCATTTTTATTGTCACATTTTGCCTTCTACATAAAACTTCTAATTTCTAATCTTTAAGGATTTAGGATACTACACAGCATGAGACGCACTGCAGATCATGGACAGCAGAGAGGACACACAAAAAACCAAGTATTTGTTCTGTTATGACAAGATAGATACAACATTATTAAAAACTGCGTTATAAAAAACAGTTGTTTTAGGGGAAGAAGGGCCAGAAGTAATTTTTTTTCTTGTGAGAATTAAATTTTTTTTAAAGCTCTTAATGAAATGCCACAAAGTTACACATCACAGAGCAAACCCAGGATTAGTTAACATTGAACTATTGCTTTTGGTAGCTCTAGCGACCTACTGCTATTGTGTGTCTTACTATTCCTGTCATTTGTACCCCCCATTGTGATGGTAAACAAACCACCAGGCCACTCACACAGTTAAGATCCCAGAACTTGGCATTAGCTGCAGATAAAAGGAGATTTAAAAGCAACAGGGGCAAAACAAATCATGTTGTGTAATTATCAGAATACATTTTCTCCAAATCCTGTTCTGGATATTTGCCTGTAGGAGAGAAAGCTGTATTTGAATTTAAAATTTAAGCAGTAAAGTTATTAAGGTGGTAAAACACTCTGTCCTAGTCAATTCATAACTTTTTTCTGTAAGTTATGAGAAACCGGTCTCTTACAATTGAACGTAGGAAGTATAATTTGTCACTTAACTTGTGAAATCTAGGTCTGTTATAAGTAGATACTTAAGTTCTTCAATTTAATACATACAACTTGCTAATAATTACAACTGGTGGTGGTGAGTTTGTTTTCAGTGTTGATACTCAATCAAAAGACCATTTATTGGAGAAATCAAGTAGTCCTTTGGGTATTAAGCAAGATAAACTATTCTGGCCTGAGATTCTAGGATTCTAAATTTCTAATCTACATGGGGACCATACACCATGACTGCTTCAGAAAAAAGTTATTTGCCTTAACTTGCTAGTATCAACAACACACACAATTTAAATAATAAATGTTTGAAGATGCTTTAAAATGAAGGTATGACAACCACAGAAAAGTTATTCACACTGTACTGGAATGTTGATGTTACAAAATGAAATTGTCTCATTGATAAACTGCAAATCTCAAATATGATTTAATATGAGGATACACTGCAAAAAATGTTCATGTATTTACATAAAACAGGCTGACTTGAATCAAGACAGCAATAATTCTATCAATCCTATCATCTTACATGTCAAAGTATGTTTTGTCTTTTAAAGAGCTTCCAATTATATTTCATTGCATTTCCAAAAGAACCCTCTGTGAAGCAGGTAGGGAAGATTTATATTATTTTCTTTGTTCAGAGAAGAAAACTAAAACCCACTAAGGAAAATAGGCCTCGGTCCACATTAGTGGCAAAGACTCTAGTCATGTGCTATTCTAAGCCCTGCTGAAGAAACACCCACATAAACCACACAGATTTCAGCTAAAACATGGACTTTTCTTTTCTTGAAATGAAATTATTTTACTTGACTTCTGTACATAGGCCTATATTTATATTTACTGAAAATCAGTTTTAGTTGAGGTCTCTCTTAAATTGAAAACAAGCAATTTTTAAAATGGGAAACGGTGACTAGATAAATATTTAATCAACAAAATGGTCCAAGGAATTTGGCTACTTAAGAAAATGAATAAATAAATAAAAATTTTGTACTTGAAAGCATTGCAATTATTAGTTAAAAGAGCCTTAAAATAATGTTTTCTATTCAAAACATCATTTTAACATTGAGCCTAAACACTTAAGATTTGACAGTTTACTCGATCAGATCTAAGATACCGTAAGTAACCAAAACTGGGTGAATTTTCATGGCAGATTTAAAAAGATATGACACCATCAAGTTAAAAATACCAGTACCGGGACAAGACATAGTCATTGCAGAAAATCAGTACTATAGACCACACCAATCACTGAAATCTCCTCAAATCCTTTTTGAAAGTAGGCAGAGAACCTTATACAAAATACTAACCTGTATCACCTCTGTTTTGAAATATAGTCATGGCTTCGAGATTTAATGCACACACCCCCCTCATGAAAGCTTTCTTCATGGAATCTTCAAAGTGTTCTTTTTCATGCTGCATTCTTTGAATCTCAGCTTTTGCATTTTCCAAAGCTCCAGATAACTAAATAAGGGGAATTTTTAAAAAGAAGAAAAAAATTTGAGATACAAGGAAGGATATTAATAATTCAAAAAATAGACTTACATTGTGAAGTTATTTTTTTACAAAAGGCAGGCTATGTTTATTTAGAGTCACAAGGAGTTGACTGACTCAGTGTGGCCCAAACCACAAGGAAACCATTCTACTTCACTCCATTCTGAGTCCTAGGGTGGCCCAGACTGGCCGGAGTGCTGCTTGGGGCCCATTCACAGGTTTATAAATTTCTCAGTGACGGCAATCTGTGGCTCTGTGAGATTGGCCAAGTAGCTGTTGAGCATGGTGTCAAAGTCACTGGGAATTATCTTGGGTACTTGGTTAACCAGGCTCCTCAAGGAACGGCCCACAGTACTGTCAGATGACACCTTTTGGGACAGCACATCCTCTGTATACTGCAACCCTGTGCTTAGGGCATCCTGGATGTGAACCGATGCTCCTCCTACTTGCTGCAGATTGCTTGAGAGTGTGAACACCTGGTTGGGGCTCAAAGAGGTCGTCAAGATCAGGTCGACTCCAATGTGTTCAGTGTCCTAATATGAATATTTCATTGTCAGAGGTGTGAACATCACCCCCAGGGTACTCCCAGGGATACCCATTAAAGTGCTGACCTAGGCCTTGATGCTCATGGAGGCTCGTGTCCACAATGAGGTGAATGGGGATGGGGACTACCCTGCCGTAGTACTCATGTATCAGCACAGGGTGCTCTGTGACATCATGGCCTGTCGCCGCACCGGCCCAGGATGAGCTCATTTGGAGAGACTTTCTTGTGTAATTCATACCTGTTCTTAGCGAATTTCACGTCAACAGCTACCTCATCTTCTGACTCATTGAGAGGTACTGAAAAGAAGCTGTTAGTGACTTCCATTGAATGCATGGCAACAGTTCTCAGCAGGGTCCTGATAACTGGGACAATGCCCCCATTGCATCGTGGCTTTCCAGAATGGATGCCAAAATGACCTGGTGTGGCTGGACCACATGGCTGCGGGGTAAGGGAAGAGGGCTGGGGGTCTGGATCCGAGCCACGGTCCTAGCTGCTTTAGCCCCTGGGTCTGGGGATGAGGCTGGAGCCGGTGTTGGAGCTGGAACCGGTGCCAGGGCTGGAGCTGAGCCAGGGCTGGGGCGGAGGCCAGGGCTGGGGCCGGGGCCGGAGCTGGGGCTGGGGCGGAGGCCAGGGCTGGGGTCGGGGCTGGTGTGGAGGCCAGGGTTGGGGCCGGGGCCGGAGCTGGGGCTGGGGCGGAGGCCAGGGCTGGGGTCGGGGCTGGTGTGGAGGCCTGGGTCGGGGCCAGGGCTGGAGCTGGGGCTGGTGCTGAGGCCAGGGTTGGGGCCGGGGCTGGGGGCGGGGCCAGGGCTGGAGTAGTGGCAGGAGTACTTCCTGGTATTGGCGGTGTGGCCATCTTATCAAGCTCTGAAGTTATTTTTATGTGAAATACTAAAAACACTTTACCACATACCTCTTCTGCTATGTATCTCAATTTATTTTAAAAGGTGCATTTTACCTCTACTGTTTCTATCAAAAAACCATTTTCTTTTCTAACCATAAAATCAAGTTTCAAACAAGGGGAATTTCATGCCGGTCCCACCAAATCTTGCTGATGTGTTTTAATTATACCAAACAGATATGTAATTTCTTACCATAAAACTTATTAAACAAAGTACATTAAGAGCCACAGACTCTCATCTCTTCAGAAAAAAATACCTAAATGCACTATTAAGAGTCTTTCTTTCCTCCTTTCCTCCTCTTCCTTCCTTCCTTCCTTTTCCTTCCTTCCTTCCTTCCTTCCTTTTAAACGTTATCTATAGAATTTAAAGTGCAAAGTGACATTAAGTACAACACTCTATCCCATAGACCAAATCTGAAGGGACTGCATTTTTTGGTTTTTTTTCGCATGTCATTTTGAATTGCAGAAAATTATTTGTACAATGAATCTTATTTTTAACATTAAGAACTTAGTGCTATAATGATGAAAAAGGGTTTTCTTTTACTATTTGATTTCAAGAGGCCTACTGCATTTTTATTTCATTTTGGGTCTCAAATATTTTCCTTCGGAAACAATGTTTATGTCAATGGGAAAATAACTTCAGTTTATATGCAACTGCTTTATATCAACCTTATCAGAACATAATTTACTTAAATTAACATAAGGATAAACATTTTTGTTTTGGGTCTTTACTTTTGGCTCAATAAAGGCCAAATGAGGAATCTTAAGAAAGCATGCTTTCTTAGAAATATAAGGGTCTATAGGTGATTTACATTTCCAAGGGCAACGTACATGCAGGAGAGCCAACACAAATTTGGGGGTCAGAGTTAAGTTAGTCTGTAGGTCTGACTTGCTAGTGTCCTCTGCCAGGATGTCTAATTTGAACCTACATGGCACTAAATGGAACTGGAAATGGGTTACTCTGCCTAACTATAAACAGTTTTTTATCTTTTTAATTTTTATTAAAAGAAAGTCAAAGTATGAAAAGAAGTTTACCACAGCAACTCTGGTTTCATAATCGTTGGAAATCTGGACACAAACTTCTTCCGCTCTTGCTTGACAAGCTCGTTCTACTACCTCTTTCCACTGCTTCTGTGCTACGGACCGCCAGCCTTTCCAGACCTTCTTCAGTAAAGTTCTCTGGAAGTACTGGTCAGCTAGTTTACCTTCATAGACCTAAATGAAAGTAATATACAACCTCAAAAACACAATGACTGGTAAATACATTGGCAGGGATACTCAAAAACATAATGTAACCCTGTGGTAAGCAGCGTGCATACATTACCATCCAAGCTTGTGTGATCACGTTATTCTCATCTGCAGACAGAACAGGCTCAGAGAGGTTATGTAACCCGCCCAGGTCACCCAAGTAGAAAGGGAAAAGCCAGCCTCGCCTCATTTCGGAACCTCAGCTCTTATCCTTACATCACTGCTGTATGCCACCAATCAGGTTAGGAGGAAAAAACAAAACAAAAAAACAAATGAAAGGAAACGAGGAACTCGCCCTCGGAGTGATGAATCTGCAGCACGTTTTAGCCGAAAGCAGGTCGAGACGACCGAGAGAAAGTGGCTGCAAGGCCCAGAGGGTGGTGCCTGTGGCTTCAGGTGCCGCTGCTTTCTCTTCGTCCGGGTGGCCGCCGCCATAAGCAAGGCTCACTTAATTCACACGCTTTGCCACCATACAGAGTGCTAAACAGCTCCAGACGCAAGCATACGCCAGTCTTCTTTTCATCAGTGAATTTAAATTCTTTTCAAGAAGTAGTTCCAATTTCAATTTTCTTAAATTTAAAAAGCTATTCAAAAACTGATGGCAGTCTCAACTATTTTACTAACATTTAAACATATTCTCAGTATTTCACTTTCAAAATATGGCATTCTCATTTAAAGAGCTCTTTTCAATATGCCTAGTGTAGAATTAATCTACTGGGATTAATAAAAAACAATGAAAGCACTAGAAAATATACTTTAAAGAGAAATCCTGTTCCATGATAGTAGCAGCCTTTTCCTTAAGTATTAATCTCTTAGAAGTAAACGCACAGAGATCACTCTATGGCTCACATGAGCATCAAATAAAACACACATCTATCCCCTATACTCTTTTGAGTCTCTATACTCTGTCTTCTTGTGGGATATACATATGTTCTCATACTTTTCCACTTCTGATACAGTAATTTACTATTCTTAGTTTATATTTACTCTTCTATACTGATTCAGCTCTTAGTTAATGAAAATAAAGACGTTCAAGTTTAAATTATAAACAAACGAAAGATAATTTTTATAAAGCTATACAGATATGGCTTTCTTTGATTCTCTAAGGCAAGTCTACACAATAAACATTCACACAATTTTATAATATATTGATACAGTACTGCCTCTTTATGAAGAGGATATATTCAGGCATTTCTGAAGTAGAAACAATATAAGAAGCATAGGATATGTTAAAGATTATAAATTCTTTCTCCGCATAATCACATCTGACATTAAATTTGTTAAAGGGGTTCCATGATGAGGGCATCTATAAGTCAAGTATAATCCTTACTAACTTACTACGAAGTAGGAAACGACAGATTAATTGGTCTACAAAATATGAGGTATTTTTTCCCAAACTATACTAAAATCATTTGAAATAAGAGCAACATTAAATTATAAATTCATTTTGATTTATTAGAAAACAAATCTTTCTTTGGCTTTAACAATAACTCAAAATGTGATCCTAAACCCTTTTGAGTTCAGAAGTCTAAAATCTGTCAGTTACCATTTTGTTTTTATACTTACATCCTGTCTGCATTTAACATGGCCAATTCGCCAGTGGAAGAATGTTCTCATCAACTCTATCCTTTCCTTTTGCTTGCCTATGGCATGAGACAAGCTAGAAATCACCTGTAAACAGCAATTAACCCAATTATTGTGATGCTACAATAACAGTAATTGGTAAAGTGATTTTCTCATATATCAAAAAATGCCCAAGAGAATACCTCTGCATCACTAGTAATTAATCCAGTTAACCTCATTATTATCTTTAAAAAGACCAAAAAACTTGACCACATGAATGCACTACATATCAATGAGTGAAGAGGAACAAAAGAGAAAAGAAAAATCTTCATTATGTGTATCTTTGCAATCATCAAAAAAAGTTTATGTATATGAAAATTAATATGGTCATTGATATTTAATTCAAGAAAGACAACTACACATTTGAATATTTTGTTACGTATACAGAAAGTCTTTGTTCATTAGACTTGAGGGTAGGGACCAGGTTTTAAACATCTTTCTGGTCCCTAAATACCTTTGGTACCTTGGATTAGAAGTTGCTAAGGATTTTCTGGATTCAACAAACTCATAAAAGCAAACAATAGTTATACTATAATGTACTTCTTCAGTTTTTCCTGTTCTTTTAAAAAAAAAATCTATGCAGGCTTTTAAATCCTAAAATGATATTCTATCTTACAAAGAACTGAGTAGCTGAAATATATTTTTTAAATTGGCCACATTAAAGCCAGATTTAGTAAATTGGGCATATTTACTGAGAGACATTTATTCTGGCTCTTCTTCAAATAATTTTCAAAAGTGGAAAAGGGTACACATGCTAAGACATTAGTAATATTCTATTTCTTTTTTTTTTTTTTTTAAAGATTTTATTTATTTATTTCCAAAGCTGAAAGACAAAGACAAGGA